GATTTGTGTTTTTCTTTAGTTTTTGGTTTTGTTTGGTTGATTTTTTTGCATGAATTAAGTTTGTTTTGATAAACAGTAAAACTGTAAACGAAATTTAATTAGAAATAAAGATATTTGACAATCTCTCTCTCTCTGTCTCTCTCTGTCTCACTCTGTCTCTCTCTCTCACTCTGTCTCTCTCTCTCTGAGTGGAAGGAGCACGGAGTTGACGGAGCGTGTTTGAGAGCGATAAATAGCGATTTTTTTTTTCCGATATTTTTCTTCACTGGGTAATGTTGGATATGGTAGTGTAGTGGGGTGTGCAGGGTTCACGGGTTTTTTTGTGTACTTTTAGCTGTTTTTTTGGGTCTTTTTTGTGAGCGGATTGCAGCCGGGCAGCACATGCTGTCGACTGCTAAACGCCACCATGGGCCTGACCGAGTTAACCAGGGAACACGGCATAAAGATCCCGCCGCTGTTCAGGTGTTCAGTGGAGGAATCAGCCTGGCAGTGGGGGAGCTTGTCGGCCACAGCTGCGTGAAGTCGGCAGCGCGGATGAACAGCGCTGTGGTCATCTTTCTAGACACCATAAAACTGCGGAAGTGGTGTTGATGACCGGGATCTCCGTGGGTGAACACTTCCTGCCCACGTATCCTCTCGGCTCACAGGAAGTGAAAGTCACCGTGTCTAACGTGCCACCATTCATAAGAAACGATGCAATAGTCAAAGAGCTGTCCAAACATGGGAAGGTGGTGTCTCCGGTTAGGAGAGTGTCCTCTGGATTTAAATCTCCGCTGTTAAAGCACGTGGTGTCTCGCAGGAGATATGTCCTCATGATCCCCAACGACAGGAGCAGAGTGGTCAACCTCAGTTTCAAAATCACAGTAGAGGACTTTGACTATGTCCTTTTTGCAAAGACTAATGATTTTAAATGTTACAGTTGTGGGAAAGAAGGACATCTGAGTAGAGCTTGTCCTGGGAAAATGGCTCAAATAAAGACCAGAAAGGTACTGAGGAGGGCAGATGGGGACAAGCAGGACGGACAAGAGGGAACAAGTGGAGCACAGGAGGTGAGGGTGGAGGAGACGGGTGTGACCTAGGAGGTGAGGGTGGAGGAGACAAGGGTAACCCAGGAGGTGAGGGTGGAGGAGACGGGTGTGACCCAGGAGGTGAGGGTGGAGGAGACAAGGGTGACCCAGGAGGTGAGGGTGGAGGAGATGGGTGGGGCTCAGGAGGTGAGGGTGGAGGAAACAAGTGAGGTACAGGAGGCGAGAGAAGAGAGGACAAGTGGGGGACAAGAGATGAGGAAGGACGGGGCAAGCGAGGTTCAGAAGGTGAGGGAGAGTACTGGAGGACAGGTGGAGACAGGTGGGGAGGTGGACATGGAAGCAGACGAGGAGCAGCTCAAAGCCCCTCAGCTGAAGAGGAAACAGAGAGGAGACAGCGGAAGCTCACAGGCAAAGAAAGTGGCAACGAAAGAAAGTGGAGGAGCGGCAGAGAGTGAGTCCAGCCTGGAGGAAGACTCTGAGTCCAGTATGGAAGAGGACTCTGAGTCCAGTCAGGAGGAGGGCGCTGCTGCTGACAGTGAGCCCTCTAAACACGGTGCTGGCAGCTATAGGCGCTCTGGAGACTACAGCGTGGAGAAGATAAAGGAGTTTCTGAAGAGGAGTAACAATGTGAGAGGAGCCAAAGTGGAGGACTACATCTCTGACAAAGAGAAGCTCTCCAGCTCTGCCAGATCTCACATGAGAAGCAAGGACAGAGGAGGTCTCACGAAGCAGGAAGGCTTCAGACTGAAGAAAATAGTTCACAAAGTGGACAAAGAACTGGACAAAGATGGTGATAAGTGAGAGTCAGATCTCACAGTCTAAAGACAATCAAAGACACGTTTATGTTTGTTGGACTTTATTTGTTTAACCGTTTTAAATGATAAAGAAACATGTTCAAAGACAATAACGGTTTTCTAAAAATCAAATCTCCCTCTCTGTCTCTCTCTCTCTGTCTCTCTCTCTGTCTCTCTCTCTCCCCCCTCAGGTATGTCTGTCTCCCCCCCCCTATCTGACCTTCCTGGTCTCTATCAGACGGAGTTTGTCCGTAGTGCCCGTGCGGTCGGTGTCCTCTGGGCCGTGTGTTCTCTCTGCTTCGCCATCCTCCAGATAGTGGTTCTGGTGCAGCCGTCCTGGATCGGGACCGGAGACGCCCGTCACTTGGGAGCGGGGCCTGTCCCGGCCAGCGGCACTCTGGGATTGTTTGAGGTGAGACATATGAAGCCATGTCTCCAAACACTGACTGTCCAATCACAGCTGAGCGACTCTAACAGCTTGTCTCTGTGTGTGTCTTTGTGTGTGTCACTGTGTGTGTCCCTGTGTCTCTGTGTGTGTCTCTGTGTGTCCCTGTGTCTCTGTGTGTGTCTCTGTGTGTGTCTTCAGGTGTGTGTGGAGTCCGACTGGCCGGTCCTGGACTGTCGTGGTGGTCTCTCCAGTCTGTCCCCTCTGCCGTCCTTCCAGTCTGTGGCGGTCTTAGTGGGCGTGTCTCTGTGGGCAGTGTGGACCAGCGTCCTCTGTCTCTGTCTCTTTAGGTTCTGCAGCGCCGCCACGGTCTACAAGATCTGTGCCTGGCTGCAGCTCACTGCAGGTTAGTCACTAGTTCTACTGGTCCAAGGGGTTTTATAGGTTCTACTGGTCCTAGTGGTTCTACAGCAGGGGTCACTAATAGGCGGACAGTGGTCTGGATCCAGACCCAGACAGCGTTTTTATCCAGACCCAGGACCTAAAAGCGATTTTATTTTCACGGAGCACTTCTATTTTAACCGACGCAGTTCCGGCACTTGTTCAGCGGCGCAGGAAACACGTCGACCAATGTGTTGTGAATCACATCACGTGATGCAGCTCAGCCAATCAGATATGAGCATTCTGACAAGTTTCATGACTCGAGTGAGATGTTCACACAGCGTGACACACGGGGGGAGACGAGGAGAGAGAAGCAAGAGCAGGAGAATAATACGTGAGTCAGACAAGTTATTTCACATGAAGCTCTCCAAAGAGAGACCACAGAGACCAGAGAGACCACAGAGATTAGAGACACCAGAGAGACCAGACCACAGAGACCACAGAGATTAGAGACGCCACAGAGATTAGAGACACCAGAGAGACTAGAGAGACCAGAGAGACCAGTCCTTGAACAAGAATGAACAGACTCTTATAGGTGAATTCTTCCCACGGACAGTTTATAACCAGTGTGTCTCACATGTATAGAGACCGTGATGATTATTAAAAGCAGTAATATGAAGCGACACTACGAGACAAAGAACAACTCTTTAGAACAAATGTACCCACTCGCATCTAAATGAAGACACAGTAAATAAACTTAAGAGCCCAAAATGATCAGAATCATAACACATGAATTCACTGACCAATGATGTTACCAGAGAGGATAGAACTAAACAAGTGTTAATAACCACACAAAGTCCTGCTCACTGATTTATCTTATTACAAGATGAGAGAAATATAATATTGATTTTTTTATTGACATCACTTCACACTGAATGAAGTGAATTTAAAGCTGCAGGACAATTCAGTGAAATTAATGTTTCTAAAATGAATTACTTTATTTTAAGATGCACATTTTTGTGAGGAGATTTTCTCAATCTGGACCTTTTTAGAATTTTAGTTGAATACTCCTGTTCTACAGGTTTAGATCTATCAGGAGCGTGTTTGCTTATCAGTAAATATGAAAAACTACATTATTAACATCAATAGAATTATTAATGTCGGTCAGATTATTAACGATTATTAATAATAACGGGGCTCCAACCTGAGATCAGAGACCAATAACCAGACTATAGACTAAGTCTCATGGTTAGTGTTCACTCAGTGTGAACAGTCTGAGTGCTGTTTCACATCCAGAGTGAACAGTGAAGGTTTGATATCAGCTGTTATCACAA